TTTCTCTTCTTTTATTGCACTTTGACATTTTTAATTTCTATTACCTTTTGAAATTTCATCTATTATTAGTATTGATAAATGGAAATCTGTTTTCATTTTCTCTTCATAAATTCTCCTTATTGTCTCTCTTTGCATCACTTTTTTACACTTTTTTCCTGCCATCTATCAACCTATCGTCACATGCATGATAGAGTCTTGAGCTGGTTATTGTATCAGGCCTGTTATGTATGTCAGCTTAACACTGAGGGCCACACTAATGTGACAGAGCTCTCCGGGTTACATCTCTCTCTGCTGCATTAAAAATCTTCAGCAGGAAAATGCCACGCATCACATCTTCAGAAAACGCACACACATACACCAAAAAGGTTGCTGAAGAAAGCCAATCCTATCCTATCCTTCCTCTCCATCCCTCCATCCTAGTGCCTCTCTCTCTTCCTTGAACCAGTCACTGACAGAACACAATGCAGAGGTAAAATCATAGAAGCTTTTCCACATCTTTCAATGTGTGTGTGTTTCTCTGTGTCTGTGTGTGCGATGCTTTCGGAGACAAAGACCCCTGCTGTAGGGAGTCCTGTGGGAAAGGCGTGCGGCCGGAAGATGTGAGCGCGCCGGCGAGTGATAATGTCAGCTTGAGAGATACGGCGTGTCATTTTACACAACCACACATCAAAAAAGACAGTGGGGGGACGGAGGAAAAGACAGCATGTCATTTGTTTGCTTTGATACAAGATCGCACCAAGGGAGGGACTGGAAGCCTCTGAGTGTGTGTGTGTGTGTGTGTGTGTGTGTGTGTGTGTGTGTGTGTGTGTGTGTGTGTGTGTGTGTGTGTGTGTGTGTGTGGCCTCTGTTTGTATGTCCTGCACATGAGCAGATGAAGGGATAAGGTTTCAGGGATATTTTCTAAATGTCTTGTATTAAGTTACACGTAAACAGACAGACACAGAAAGACTGGCACAGTTCTGCAACCTGCACCACACACTGAAAATCACTGGATCACGATTGACCTAGTCTGGACAAATACAGCACAGATGCTATACCGGGGCAACCTTACCCAGTGCCGAGGTTAAGTTGGCCCAATGTTAGTGTTATTTTTTATATCACTGCTATTTACCCAGACTAACATACAATTAATTTAACCCAGTGTTAGCGTAAGTTTTACCTTAAAACCGACAAATATATTGTCCGTTGTACAAAATGTGCGTATGACATTAAAAACTGCAAAGGATATACACACTGAAAATCTGTAACAAATAGTGACAAAAAGAGAGACTGTAACAGTTTGCAATCATATACACTAAAAATAGCGGTATAAATCAAAATCAAATCTGATGCCTAATGCACAAAATGGTAAGACAGCAATATTGACTTTCCCAAGAAAGTTATATGTGTTACAGTTGAAAATCCTTCTCTATCTTAGATTTAACAGCTACTCGTGCAGTTAATCCATAAAGACAGTTCTTCCCTTTCTTTAGAAATTTTTTTTTTTTTTGATGGTGACAATTTTGTTTCAGAAAGAAGGATGAGAAGTTTCCCTCACTTATTTCTTTAACTCTTTCATGGACAGCCTTGATTTTTTTGTTCTGGAACCTTGCAGGTGTGTGTGTGTGTGTGTGTATACCTGTCAGATTTACACACACAAACCCGGCTAGAGACTTGTTTCTGGACTCGACTGCTGGGTCACAAGTGCTTTAAAATGAAGTGAGTCCTTGAGGCGTAGAATAAGATCCTCTTTCGCTCTCTCTGGCTTTCCCTGCATGTGGGAAGAAGTGTGTGAGTGTGTGTTAAAACAGCTTGTTAACACGTACACCCCCGCCTTAGCCGGGACTCCCTAATTATTCACTTCCAACTAAAGGCCAAGACATGGGGAGAGTAGTGATAAACACATTTTCTTAGCATGTCTTTCTCTCTCTGATTCACTCTAAGTGTGTGTATGTGTGTGTGTGTGTGTGTGTGTGTGTGTGTGTGTGTGTGTGTGTGTGTGTGTGTGTGCGCCGAGCGTGCGTGCAAGCGTGCAAGCGTGCAGGCGTGCGTGATGCGGAGCATCTGTAACACAAAACATGTTTATGAAACATCTGCTAATAGAAAGCAGGTGTTGATTGGCTGTGATCCTCCCAGCAATCAGTGTATATTCAGAGACTAATGCAGATGCAAATGTCTGCTCTGAGGCCACACACACACACACACACACACACACACACACACACACACACACACGCGTGTTGTTCACAGGTACAAGATATATTATTGTAAAACACACAGCCCTGAGATAGCAGTGGTGTTTTTTAGAGCCACAGTCTTCTTCTGTTGTCTTTGTATAACCACAGAGGCGGTAGTGGTATGTTTGTGTGTGCTTGTGTTTGTTTATGCGAATGTGTGTATGCAGCCTTCCCACTTTGTCTTTATTTGTAAACATGCACACTCATATGTGTACTAAAGTGGGTGTGGGCACATATGAGCGTGTTTGTGAATGTTTGGATAATTTGGTCTGTGCACAGCTTTCCCGCTCTGAGTCTGTTTATTTGTATATGTGTGTGTGTGTGTGTGTGTGTGTGTGTGTGTGTGTGTGTGTGTGTGTGTGTGTGTGTGTGTGTGTGTGTGTTTTGAGGCTTCTCTCTGGGTTTGATTCTCAAGGCATTGTGGGGATTTTGTGGGGGTTGTTTGTAAACATCAACAGCAGTAAGTTTTATTTTATTGTAGCTTTATTTTACGACATTATTCCCAGATGGCTGCTAAAGCTCTCAAGTTTTTTAATGCGCCTACCACACATTCTGCACTCCCTCGCCTCATGCTGGCCGCCACACATATGCTTTTGCTCTCATGCACAAACAAACAACATAGTCTGTGGAACTGATGAGCTCGGGAATGAGCAGTGAAAAGATTCCCCCCCCCCCCACATATAGACACAAGCAGGAATTAAGTTTTTAACGTTTAAAGGATCAGACTGAGTTATTCAAGTTAGTGGCAGGGGCTTTTTTCTCATTTTTACCAGCTCTGTGACACTGTGGGTGAGCACTCCCATATTTCTCTTTAATTAAGCCAGGGAAAACCTTGTAGTACAGCCAAACCAGCTCATGTAGCCACTTATGTTTTAATTTAATTACCTGTCCACTTTGATAATTATTCCCCCTGATTAACAGGGAGAGATGGGTTCTAAATGGGAATAGGAGAAGGGTGAGAGGGCCAAATGGCATTTTTCTCCTTTAACCAAGAACAAGAATGGAGGTGTTGACTTAAGGTGTCCAGGCCAGCACTATTTTGATCCAGTTTCATACTTGGCCTGCGTCACCCTGGCCTGGCATGGATTTATTCAGGCAATGCAGAACACAGAGTCCTACTGAGTTTCCTGTGCTCTGTTTGATCTTGTGATTTTATGCAACCATCATCCAGAACAGACAAACAACAACCAACAAATCATGATTCCCTAAACAGGCGAGGGGGTGATTGATATCTTTAGTAAAAATGTCAACAGTTACACAACAACAAGCACAAGGATGATTCAGTCTCGCTTCTCTCTATTGTGCTTCTCAGCTCAGGTTGTTTGTCGCTATAAATATTTTAAATACACACACCTGCTGGGAGTTCAGTTCCAAACTTTCTTTTAACAATACTCTCTCAATTTTGTCGATCAAACTTGAAAGTGCACCTTCATGATAACAGCCCCCTTAAATAAGCATCACTCATCACCATCCAGTTGCTCACATTAGCAGCCGTCAGTTCTCAGGGGAGATTTATTGGAGACGTATAACAAAGTGTTCCTGGCAAAAAACTGTCATGCTCAGAGGAGAGGTGAGTGAGTAAAAAAATATATGGCTGCCCATATACACTCACACACAGAAACACACACCCAAACATGTGCACGCAGACACACGTATTTTTAGTGGTATTGATCGTGCTAATGAATATGTTGTGATTTACTGCAGTCGTGGCCCATTGTTGGGTGGTGCTGTGATGGACTACCATCATTTTCCAATGGTAAAAGCTTAGATAGAGAAAAGGCAGGAGGGCAGAATCCCATTTAACGGCCAAAGCAAATTATTCCAAGATCCTCTTTTGAGTTATGGTATCCTTTTTTTCTAGTTTTTTTCTTCTTTTTTTTGCAGCGACAGGTATGATGTAATTCCCAAATTTCATCAGAGACAGTAATCTCAACACTGATTATGCTGTCAATTAGTAAATGAATGTGGTGGTGAGGGTGAAAAAAGTGGTAATAACTCTGCAAAAGGAGTTGTCAGGCTTCCAAAATACATAAAGGACATAGTGAGGTAGACAGACAGTAAAAAAAAAAAAAAAAAGTCCAATCACAATATAACTGTCTGTTTGCAAGGTAAGTGTATAATGAGAGTGAACCCACTTAAACTGATTTTACACTTATTTTTTATTTGTGGAATACAGCATTTCAGAGGTGGACATGAATCATTTTTGCTGTGAATCTAAATAGGCTACCATGCAGAGTGAAAAAAGATGAAAGTTATACTATTATAAGGTCTGTAAAGAGGGGAAAGGGGTATAAAAATATAAGTTATGCAGACACATAAACTTATATCTTTTGAAGATTAGAAGAGTGATTTATTTGTTTTGTTTTTATTTACCAATACAGCACATGGAAACAATCTGTGGCATTTAGAAGTGTAGAAAATCTATATGATTAATAGCAGACTGGTTCTGTTTTGGTGATCCAGCTTTGTTTCTGACGGTTTTCTGAGCTCAAAACTCAGTGCAGGCAAACATCTGTTCCTCTCTGCCTCCACAATAGCACAACTCAGCCGGGATGCAAAGAGAGGTCAAAAGATCAGTGCCGTCCCCTCACACACAAACACACACACACACACACACACACACACACACACACACACACACACACACACACACACACACACTCTGAGAGAGAGAGAGAGAGAGAGAGAGAGAGGGAGAGAGATACCTCTCGCCGGCTGCTGTTTTCCTTTTGTGCGCCAGGGCTTTGCGAGGATAGGGCAGCGATGAAAACGCGCACCTGCTTTAGAAGCATTACGGTAGCGCAGCAAACTGTCCCCCCGCAACACACACACACTCCACACTCGTGTACACACACACAGCCCTAGTGATTCAATCCTGATTTCCAGCGTACGAGCAAGCAACAGACGGGATGCCAAAAAGTGAGGACCGGTAGAGAGGTTATTCGCGCTGAATAAGCCTCTTGAAGAGATAGCGGAGGAGGCAGACGCAACAAAACAAGACGAGAAGCTGCGCTCTTTCTCCGCGGCAACTTGCGCACAGTGCCAGAGTTTTAGCGGCAGTATTGTTCAGACTTCACTCCAGAGGGGCCACTCCGAGGAGAGGGGACGCACACAAAAGGGAAAAGGAAAGGACTAACGAGCACGCTTTGTCGTTTAAAGTAATGGTCCTGCGGTCTTAGATCCTAGATTTCTCTGTCTCTCTCTCTCTCTGTTTCTTTCCATTTTTTTTTGTTTTTGAAATTTTTCGTCCCGTCGGTTTGTGTCCCCCTTTGTCGCCGCGAGAGAGTGGACGCGCCGGGGGCTCGAGGAGCAGAAGCGGGCTGTCCACATGGTCCAACCACTGGCGTGAAAGTTGACTTCTTCAGAAAACAAGAGAACAGGTTGATGCATTATCTACACTTTCCTTCCACCCCCCCTCTTCCTTTTTTTTTTGTATCTTCTTCTTCACTCTTTCCTCGCTCTGTGCTTCCATTGAAACTCTCCGATAGACACATTAGTTTACTAAAAAACAGCATCGAACTGCAACTTCTCATCGCACATAGTTTGTCAAACTCCTCCAAGTCAGCCTGATAAACATAATGGGGTATTATAGAGTGTTATACAGCGGGGGCACACTCGGGAGTTTTCCTCTTTCAGACTTCCCTCCGTCCATGTTTCACTTTAACTTTTAACTCTTTTCGCTGCTGGGGGTGTTGAACGCTAAACTTATCAGCCACGTTTTTTTTGTTTGTTTTTTTTAAATCTCTCTTTAAAGTAGTTCTTTTCATCTTTTCAATTTCCTCAATAGGAAGAAAATTGACGGTGGAATAAGTGTCTTTCCCTCTTCGCCACTCTCACACGTGTCAACACACACAGAGTCAAAATGTGGTTTATTTCCAATCGACATTTATTTCAATGGGACAGCGCAATTTATTTGAAAGCTCTCAGAATTTATTAAAGCGTTATAGTTTTGGTGGACATAGAGAACCGGTGCTTGTAGACAGTGTCATTGTCCGAAGTCTTCGCTCATGAGACAAGAGAAAGTTTTTTTTCTTTCCTCGCAGGTTAGGACTATAACTAAGATGTCGGGAGTGGATTTGAATGGAAGCAACAACGTAACTTTTTTTTTTTGTCGTTGTCCCCGTTAATAACCCTTGTTAAGGGATTTGATAATAAACACCGACGTAGGTTATGTGGTGATAATTTTACACACCCGATCTGAATGCTTTGTCATCGCTTTGTACCTGTTTAACTCCCATGCAGCCGTTAAATACTGTCTTTAAATTCTTAATAGTATAATTCTGGTTTTTGGTCATTAAACAATAACGTTTAAAATTACAAAAAAGGGGCATTACACCCCTCACTGAGGATAAGAGAGCCCTTGTCTTAAGGAAGAAAAAAAAAACGCTTTCTTGTGGACATAGTCAATAGGTCAGGGGACAATACTTTCTTTTCAAAGGATTTTGACTTTTGAAATTGGAACCGCGTTGTGTGACCTCACTGAGTTTTGATATGAAGTTTCCATTAAAATCTTTACCGGATTAAATAAAATAACAGTAAGCTATAGCTGAGTGTCTGAACAGCAGGTCGTGGAGGGGAAAGTTGTTCATAGTAAAAGTTTAATTCCAGTTTTAACGGGGAATATTAAAACGGAACTAATGTGTAGGGTTGTAGATAATTCGTGCTTTATAACACTGATGTGTCTTAGACTGGTTGGTTAAAAAAAAATACACGTGCTGTAGCTAGGCTACTTTTGATGATGAAATATAAAAAATATTCCCACATATTTAGAGTTAAGTCAGGCAATATTATAAATTTAGAAATTGAGGGGGTTGAAGTCTGTACCAGAACCTCTGCATGACCCATGTTTTTCCCTTCTTCTTTTTGCAGTCATAAACCGCCTGAAAGTAGGCCTGCACCACAAAAGAAAATTATCTTTCCAAGAGAAAAAGAAAAGAAAGAAACTTATCACCGGGACTGTAATTTTTTTTTAAATAGCCTGACACATTTTAATGAGAGAAACAGTTTAAACGTGCCTTTAATTTGCGCAACTACATAACACAAAGCGTCTCAAACTAATTTAAGTGTGTAAACGTAAGTTTCTCTTGTTGTTGTTTTATTTTTTCCACTCAGCTAAAATAAAACTCCCCTCATCAAATATCAAACATCAGCCAGAACATTCCCGCATGTCAGAAGGACTCAGGTCCCGCATGATGGAAAAGCGTCAGACAAAAAAAAAAAAAAAAAAGAGGGAGAGATGAAATGACAATTAATTGCTGTTAGTTGTCTGTCATTGAGAGAAAAGCATACAGGCCGTGTGGGTGCACACCCTGACACGGGCATTATTGCCCCGTGATTGATGGGCGCCGGGGCATTTGGCATAATTAATTTTATTTACTGTGTCCTCTCTCTCCTGTTGTGCCCCCCTCCACCCCACCCTCCCCACTCACCCCCATACCCCCCCCCTTGTCCTCTGTGGTGGCATTTCCGCGACGCGATGACACACTTTTAATTGCACTTTAATAGAAGATCCAGCGGGAATGAAAAAGCTCTTCATCAGGTTTTATGACCTTGTCACGTTTCTGGTGTCAGACAGGAAAGCAGGTATTTTGTGGTGGCTCAGAGTCCCTGGTGTAAAGTGTATGCAAGAATTATAATACACCCCTCCCCCCCACCCCCCCCAAAAAAGTTTATTTCACCTGCATGAATTACATATTAAGCTGTAGCCTTCATAAAAAGCTGCACATTGATGTTTTAATGTAATAGTGTGCACACAGCCTCATGCTGTGGTTTATTTAGATAGGTAAAATTATATCAGAATTTTGAGATGTTAATTTGTTCATTTTAGCCAAGACATTGACTGAATCTATTTTTATTTGTATAACAGCATACCTTAACATTTTAATAGTGTGAAAATAATTTACACATATGTGTGCTGGCTGTAACTATCAATGCATCTAAGCAAAAGATAATTATTTTCTACAGTTTTGTCCGGTATGCAGAATCTCCTAATACGATTTCCCAGAAATATGGAAAAAATAATTCAGCCAGTTTTTACTTTGATTTTGTTTTTAAAAATATATCTGATTTTTGTTGCTACATGTTCTTTCAGCTGCTTAATTTCTCTTTGCTGCAGTGTAAGTTCAACACCTTAGATGTCACAGTTTGGAGTTGATTTCCAACAAAATACAGATTCCTACATTTTGTTATTTGTACATTTGTATTTAAAATTACCTCACTAATAATCACTTGCAAATCTCAAAAGGAAACCTACAATGGAGCTCAAGAGCGAGGTTAGGATTGGGGGAAATTATCTTTTTTATTTCTACTTCTATTTAAACACTGCATCATTTGCCAACAGTATAAACTCACTGTAAAGTTATCATTTCTGTGTAGTGCTTTGCTCGTTGATAGGCTATCACATCAGTGACAGGCTTTTCAGGCAAATATAATAGGAGACAATGAACAAAAGAGTATTTGAAAGGCAGAAGTAGTTATTTGGGTAAAAAAGAGAGTACGTGTGCAGGAAGCCAGAGGTGTCAGAGACAGATTGACTCTCTCTGCTCTCTGTCGGCTATTGTGCGTCCGTTTCTGTGTGTTTGCCTCAGCGATGCCACCTTTTTTCATCTGACTTGCTTCAACACTTTTCCCTCTTTGCTTTTTTTCCCCCTCCTCTCTCGACAGCTGTGTCTTTTCCATGTCCTGTTTTGTTTCATTGTTTGTAAGAGTCGCTCATGTACTGCTGATTTTTATCACTTTCAGACTCTTTTCCACCAGACAATGTTTTTCTGTTATGCTTACTGACATATTACTTGGAATGATGATTTTTAGCTCGGCTCTGTACAGTGACTGTGTGCCGGTGTGTGACTCGAGCCATGCGTGAGACCGTCTAGAGACAGGCAATAATGACTGTGAATCTCATGCGCTTTAAAACCCCTTCAGCAGGTTTAAAAGCCACCAATATGATTGTGTTAGTCCATAAACTCACTCAGAGAGTCCTTACCTCCAGCATGAGCGCGTGTGAATGTATGTGTGGAAGAGTGTATATATATGAGTGCGGGAGTGTGTGTATACAGGAGTGCTTTTTTCTCAATTCACCTGTCCTGCTTGAGTGAAAATGGACAGTATTTGAAGTTTTAAATGTCCTGTGCGTCGGTAGCATTGATGGCTCGCCTGTCCGTCTCTCCATCTCTGGCGCTCTCTTCATTAAAGCCCTCCTGCTATCCCAAACCCACAAGTCTGAGTGGGCTTTTGGCTCCAAAGTGATGTTGAAGAGCACCCGTATACGACTCTGCTATACATGTAGGGTTTGACCCGTGATAGATACTCACAGTTTTTCTTCTATTGCAGCACTTAGTGCACTACCTGCTTAAAAGCTGAAATGGTTAAATTTTCAATATCCTAGATGGGGTTTGAGAAAAGCAAAAATGTTACTGTGCAGGGAGGGAAAGTGTGTTTTTAAATGGAATTATAAGTGTTGGTCCTGAAGCTGCCAGTATTGCAAGATGTGTGCGCATTTCAGCTGTAATATGTTTGGGGCTTTTAAATGTGGAAACACTGTAGGATAAGATATTCTACAGGTTGTAACAACTGTGTAATTACGTGTTAAAATGAAACAGATTTTAATTTAGTGTATCATTGATTTTTATGGAATAAAATTGTACGTTTTTCTGGTGATATAAAAAGATGGAAAATGATAATCTACACGTCTCCATTTGTAGTCACTGAATACCGTTATAATAGCAATTAGGGGCTTGTTTCCTCTTTAAAAATATGTTAATGAAATATAATTGACAAATTAATGGATTAAATGAAGGCGTTATTCTTCATGGGCAGCCACCAAGTGGGGGAATATTCTGGTTGTATATTGAAGTGATTGACTGCACAGTGAAACTGCCGCCACATTGCTTTAGACTGAGGCCTGATTATACATGTGGTTCTAATTGAACCTGTTATTTAGGAGAGGTTGAGGGCTGTGTGTGTGTGTGTTTGTGTATGTGTGTGTGTGTGTGTGTGTGTGTGTGTGTGTGTGTGTGTGTGTCTGTCTGTCTGTCTGTCTGTCTGTCTGTCTGTGTGTGCATATAATAAATCCGGCACATTTTTCAAAGATGAGATGTGTTTTTATGATGGGTCAGAAGGCGGTGTTGTACAGGAAAGTTGCGGGACAGCAGAGAAGGAAAGCGGGAAGATGTCTTTAGCGGTCTTTAGGAAGTTGACCACCTGTGAAAGACAGAGAGTTTTTTGTTGCCTTTTCTTTTGCCTTTTGTGTTTTTTTGAAAGAGCTGTCACCACGTATGCGATGACAGCTCTTTCAGGCCCCGCTCGCAGTCCCAACATAGTTCTTTAAAATTTACGCACTTCTCTCCCTCTGATTGATAAGGTAATCATTTTGCCTGACACA